TTGAAATAATTTCCTCGGGCTGGCCCCGTGGCTTAGTGGTTAAGCGTGTGCGCTCCACTGCTGGCGGCCCGGGTTCAGATCCCGGGTGCACACCGACGCACCACTTCTCCGGCCATGCTGAGGCAGTGTCCCACATACAGCAACTAGAAGGATGTGCAACTATGACATACAGCTATCTACTGGGGTTTTGGGGGAAAAATAAAAATAAATAAAATTATAGAGAATGCTGCCTTGAGGGGCAATTTTTCAAAAAAAAGAAAAAAGAAATAATTTCCTCAATGTTGAGTTTTACCCCTAAAATTGTTCTTAAATCGTTAGCCCTTGCTACTACCTATTTCCCAGAAATAAGTAACAAATGTGATTCCTTAAAAATATGTAGGTATGCATCTCTGCGCCTAACATGCATACCTTATTTTCTACTGGTTAGTTCCTGCTTTGCAATATAGCATTAAAACTAACTAAAGATGCTTCTCAGCGTCTACACAAAACAGAGTGACCTCCAGGGCTCCAGATAACTCTATCAGCTTCATGACTTTATGGTTTAGTGGAAAGAGCAAGGAAAGTGTTTGGATGCCACTCAGATCTCTAGCTGGTTTCCTGCCCTTTCTGAGGTTATGATACCCCAAGAGTTGGGAGAATTAAAACATTTGTAAACTATATAGCACTGTATAATATTATTTCAAACCTAAGTAGATCACACGCAGAATAAGATGAATCCAGGAGATACGGAGGGTCTTTGACATGGAATTGGAAGATTTTCATTTTTTAAGTTTGTGGGTATTATGAAAGCCTGGAAATATAAAATTATGACTTAATTCATCAATGTGATTATGATGGAAAAGCACGGTGGAGGGTTACTCCTAAGGCACTAAATTTGGGCAAAAGTCTTGCTGTGAGGATTTATGAAAACTTGTCTACTTATGCTACAAGATCCAGTGGCAAAGAAAGTACTTGCATCTGGTATGCTGCCTTTTTTTTTTTTTTTAAATGACTTTCTTTCACTCTAATGCTCTAATATTTTAGAGAGATTTTCTCTGCTTTATAGATTTCCAGGAAGGGAAATTGTTATATCATTATAAAACCACACGAGTTGTATTAATTTCCTATTGCTGTAACAAATTACCACAAACTTAGTGGCTTAAAATAACAAAAATTTATTAATAATCTTACAGTTCTGGAGGTCAGAAGTCCAAAATGGGTTTCACTGGGTTAAAAATCAAGGGGTCAGCTGGGCTGCTTTCCTTCTGGAGGCTCCAGGGAGGCTCCTTCTGTTTCCTTGTCTTTTTAGCTTCTAGAGCCTCCCACATTCCTTGGTTAATGGCCCCTTCCTCCATCTTCAAAGCCAGCAATGGCAGGCTGAATCTTTCTCCTCTACCATCTCCTCATGTTCTCAATCTTCTGCCTCCCTCTTTCAACTGAAGGACCTTTGTGATTACACTGGGCCACCTGGATAACGCAAGAAACTCTCCCAATTTGAAGGTAAATTGATTAGCAATCTTAATTCCACTTGCAAATGTAATTCCCTCTGCCCTGTAACAAAACATATTCCTCCATTCTGGGGACTAGAAGGTGGGAGAAGAGGGCGAGGCATTATTCTGCCTGCTACATGAATTATAATCTATTTTTAAATCAATAAGTATCAGGGGCCAGCCTGGTGGCACAAGCAGTTAAGTGTGCGCGCTCCGCTGCGGCAGCCCAGGATGCGCCAGTTCAGATCCCGGGCATGTACCAATGCACTGCTTGGCAGGCCATGCTGTGGCGGCGTCCCATATAAAGTGAAGGAAGATGGGCATGGATGTTAGCCCAGGGCCAGCCTTCCTCAGCAAAAAAAGAGGAGGATTGGCAGATGTTAGCACAGGGCTGATCTCCTCACAAAAAAAAAAAAAAAAATCAATAAGTATCAGACACACAATATGCCAGAAACTTCACAAAATCTTTGCCCTCTTAGCTCTCTGAGGCTTGGCTTTGAATTGTAGGTGGTAGGAGTGGGTGAGAGAGGACCTCGTTCATTTAGTTCATTTAGGGCTAAACAGCGGTGTGCTGATAAACTTAACAACCAGCTCTAGCCAGGAGGAGGAGGGGAGGCTGATTTGCAGCATTTACTGATTTCCATGGTGAAAATACTCCCACGTTGACTGGTTTCAGGTTACCAACATGAAGTCAACTAGCTCACAAAAATCCTGAAAATTGAACAAGCCACTCTTATGAGGCTGTAAGAGGAGGCTCCAGTACACCCCTGGAAGAATATATCGTATCAACATATTCTAGTATAGGGAATGCAAGTTTGACTGAAGCATCCCAGTACTTTCTCTGAATTTTCCCTATACCCATAGGATTAACACTTCCTGGACACCACTGACACGACCAGATGCTAGAGGTGGCTGCCTTTCACACCCTTGTGCTTATTAAGGATCAAAGAACACTCCCATGTGCTGGCGGGGAATACAGTTTACTCTCCCCACACTCAATGTTACACAGATCACAGGTGACCAATCAGAATGAGACTCAGTGTTCCCTGGTGACCCCTCCCAGGAGAGGGAAAACTGGAGGGCAAGGGGGTTAAGACCAGAGGCCAAGCTAGAGGCTCTTGGGTGGCAATAGGCTGCTTGGCTCCTACTTGGCTCAGAGTTCCTGGACAGCAGCCATCTGCCTGGGGAGGAGGGCAGTATTTTGCAAGCTGGCGTCCCTGTGTGTGTTTGCTGTGCATTTTAAAGAGTAAGTGCTCCATAAGCACAGCCATTACTGCTTTCCTTGGCCATTTTCACACTGGCAACATGAAGTATGCCATTTCTAGATGGCTAATGTCCATTTTTCTTTTATCTGACACAAGCGACTACATAGGCTTACATTTAGCATGAAAAGCCACAGATTTATATACAAGAGGAATAGCTAGGTCACGGTGGCAGTGCAGGCCAATTAGCCAGCGATATCAAGCCTGTGGAAGGACCAGGGTGGACTGCTCCTTCTCTTGAACGTAATTTACATTCAGGCTCCCCAAACTTTTATGTGCACAAAAATCACCTGGGGGGCTTGTTAAAATACAGATTCTGGTTCAGAAGGTCTAAGGCGGGGCTCCAGATTCTGCATTTCTAACAAGTGAAGCCAATGCTGCTGGTTCAAGACCCACATTTTGAATGGGAAGAATCTACATATCAACTCTCTCCCCCAATCTCTCACTTTCAGGCAAATTATACCAATAATCATTACAGTTATCACATTAGAAAAGCCAACCCAATTAAGATTTTTGTAGTTAATGACTGCTATACATCTAGTGTTATGGTATAACTTGGAAAGGGGAAAACGCTTTTACTCAATGTTAAAGAAAACCATTTCAGCCACTAACATTTCTGAAAAGTACATGTTATTTGACCCGTGAAGAAATGAGCTATAAATGACCCACAAGCCAGCCAATTTATGGATATTAAGTGACAACTAATAAATGACTTTTAGGATAAGAGGTTGCAATGCAATAATTCTTCAGGATCTGTAAGCCTCTTAATTCAGTTCTTGGTGATGATTTGATGATTTTCTTAGTTCCACCTGAAATGCAGACAGACTACATGCTACGTACGTAAAGGGGACACCTCCTCTACCAACATAAAACTAAAGTGTTTGAAGGAGAAAATGAGGAGGGTGGGGAGTGGGAAGAAAAATAGAAGAGTGGGGAATAGAGAAGTAGAAAGAGAGAAAGACAGGTTAAAAAGCACTTATTGTAATAAAAAATCTTTTCAATGAAGGTGTAATAGCTGATCAATTGGAAACGGACTGCTGAATCCGTTTGTAAACAAACTTTGTAAACAAAGTTCCTATACTCTTTTTTTAATACCTCCAGCATTTCATTACAGTTCCTCATGTATAAAAGCAGTCTTACTGCCACCCCCAGAGCCTACATCTCTACAGATGCAGCACCTCTACCTCTTTAGATGCTCCTGGCCTTGGGAGAAGAGGAGGTGGGGCTTACAGAATCATTTTATAGGAATAGTGCAGAGAAGGGGAGGGGTCTGCCCAAGCTCACACAACACAACAGGACACCTTCCAAGAAAGACTTAGTCTGCTCCCCAGCCAGGCAGAGAGCTCTTCAGGGGAACAAAAAGACTCATACTCTTGGGTGTTCCCTAAGCCATCAGCTTTTGACTTCATTAACTCTAACTGGAAAAAAGATCTATTGCTTGGTAACTAGCTTTAAATTTTGACCAATACTCAATCTTTAAAAGAAAAGGAATGAGGGAGAGAGAGATACAGACAGCAGGAATAGGAATGCATTTCCATGACTTACACATGCAGTAGGTGTCATACTTGGTAGTCAGTATCATGAGTCAACCCCTTGCCCCAAACCTCCAACACTTAAAACCTATTACAGCTTAGGACTTTGTGGGGAATGGGAGGACGGAGAGGGAGACAGGGGTAGAACAACACTGCATCCTTCCTTCTTCTCTAGCAGATGAGCATTTTCAAGAGATTTCTTTCCCCAAGCCCCAGAACGAGTATCAAAACTAAAAACATCACTTTGAGGATTAAAATAGATCATATCACTAACAATGAAATGTAAATGCATGCTTTTTCTTTTATCAGTAAGAGAAGTATGTTCACCTATTTCACACTCACCTTGGAAAATTCAATATTTGGATATAAATATGGTGGTGTATCCCTGATTGCTGTGGTTACTAATTGCTTTGCCTTCTGGCCAAATATACAGCGACTACTTTGATTACTCGCCTGGGAGGAGACACAGTGTGGTGACTAAGAACTCGAGCTCTGAGGCCAGTCAGCCTGGATTCAAATCCTACTTCTTCTATTTACTGCTGTGAGCCCTTGGGCAAGTTATCCACCTTCTCTGTATCAGTTTCCTCATTTGCAAACTGGGTAATAAGAATAATATATACTTAATAGGGTTGTTGTGAAGATTCAGTGAGTTAATATATGGACACCGTCTAGAAGAGAACCTGGCACATAGTAAACCCTCAGTAAATGTTAGTGAATCATCCTCTCCACCGTCTTACCTTCTCTCTCTGAATTGCCTTCATTTTTTGGATGGCAGCTTCTTCAGCTTCCTTCCTGATTCTTACAGATTCTTCTCTTTTTAGCTAAATTGTATTGAGATTATAGACAACAGAAACCAGTTACTATTTTTCAGTCTGAACCTCCGGAACACAAAATTATGATGAAAGGCAAATTACAGTATTGTTTGTGCTATACCTCGCCATGATTACAGGTTGGTACTTCAGGCTACTGAGATCACAGAGAATGGTCAGGCTCCATCTCCTGCCTACAAAATTTCTGTGTTTCTTCTTGGTCTCTGTCTCTGTCTTCCCACAGCCCCCACACTGGGTTGTGGAGGAAAAAGGGCAGATAATTTTTTCTGATTACAAAACTCATAGAGTTCATTGTAAAAAAAAAAAAAAAAAAAAAAAAAATCACTAGTATCTTAAATCTTTTTTTGTACTATTTTCACAACTGGCACGGGGTAAACAAATCTGTGTTCTTGGAACCAAAACATTCAAAACATAGTAGAGGTTAACTTAAACTAGAAAAAGAAAAATCCCTTAATCAAGGGTCTTGATGACTGACATATGGCTTGGATAAGAATTATAGATATTTATCTCTTCACTTCTCACTTTCTGATTTCTTTGATTTTGAGAGTTTCCTATTGCAATTGGTTTCAAGGTTTCTTGCTTTTGGTAAAGTCACTGTGTTATTTCAGTTAGCTGAAAGTGCTAGTACTCAAATTCCTTGCCAAAATTAAACTAAAAGAGACGGATTCTGACCTTTTGCTGGTATTTAGATTGTATCAGTTGGAGTTGTTGTTTCTGTCTGACTTCAGCCTCTGATTGGCTTCCACCTAAGGGAAAAAAAGTCATGAAGGTGAAACATGAATATTAAGCTGAAATGTCAGCCATCAAAGACTAATTAATACATGATAAGTCCACACCATGAGTTTCTTTAACATTTTCATACCCCTGGAAATAAAGACACAACCAGTTTTCTTAATAAGACATTAAAGAATGGTAATTGCTTCAAGGGGAAACAGAGCTGGACAGAAAGCCAAGGCCGTATTCCTAAAAGAAGAGGACAATGCTACTAAGGTTTTTCAGTCGTGTAGGTATTAGAGTTTTCACTTAGATTAAAATCATACCTGAAGGCCCATGCTAAATAATAAGAAATAGTGCCTGTCTTAGAAATTCTAGAATATTCCTGCTGCTTGAGTATGACCATTCCTTAACCTAATAAAGATGACAATCAATGATGTTTCCATTCCAAGAATCAATGATGTTTCCTTCTTCTGACTCTATTGCCCTATAATCAAGTAACAAAGCTCAGGAAACCCTTGGGGGTCTTGCCACTAGATAAGTATGCAGTTTTTATAACCCAGTTTTTAAAAGTACAATGGGAATATTCCAGTTGGAAATTGATTGTCAATCTATACTATTTATTGTTCCTTCTTTAGGCAGTCAAGAGAAAAATATGGATGTTAGGTTATTTGCCTGCTTTCTCTTAAACTAAAACAATTTGAGGTCAGAAATCCTTGCAAGTTTGACAATCATCTAAGAATTGCTGATCAAGGATTTCTCAGTGTTTATGCAAGCTTGGTGTATGTATTATAAAGATTCCTTAGAAATAATTCTCTGGTGCTCTGATCACTAAAAGTGCCAGTTCTCTGAAAGATTCACTCTCACAGAAGATGCATTAAAACAATTTGCATTCACTGTAGTTTTTATAATTGAACTGATAAAGACACCTTAGAGACTTCTTTTCTAAGTCCCAAAAGATATATAAGGCCTGTTTGGTTTGGGTCCTTCAGTCTCAATTGTGGAGGATGGTGAAATGGGAAAGAAATAGTGAGGGCTACTGAAGGTTTTATCTAATGCTACAGCCACTTTCAATGTCTCCTAGAACCATTCTAATATTTTACAGGGGAGAGGAATAGGGGAGGAGTAGAGAGAGAAGAAATAGAGAAAGTCAGATGTCTAAGCATTTGCAAGTTTTGTTCAAAACTCATCTCAAAGTTTAATACATTCTAGAATTTTCTTTTCTTTTTTATTTTATTTTTTGTGTGTGTGAGGAAGATCAGCCCTGAGCTAACATCCATGCCAATCCTCCTCTTTTTGCTGAGGAAGACTGGCCCTGGGCTAACATCTGTGCCTATCTTCCTCCACTTTATATGGGAGGCCGCTACAGGATGGCCTGACAAGCGGTGCCTCGGTGCGCACCCAGGATCCAAACCCGGGCCACCAGCAGCAGAGCGCATGCACTTAACCACTACGCCACAGGGCCAGCCCCTAGAATTTTCTTTTCTAACCACCACCCCTCCCCCAGCCTCTTCCCACACACATATCTTGACCTTTCCTAGATTTGTAATATAACAGAAAGTTGCAATGAGACTCCTTCTCATTTTTGGCTTAGGCCCCAAGACAAGAGGCACCAAGTGCTCCAAATTCCAAAGTGAGGTACCTGGCTCAGGTACCTTGCAGGATCTGCAAGGGGTAACTGAAAACCAATTTGGGGAACCTTAACTAGCAACTGCCTTCAGCCTATGAGAGGTTGATAGGTCAAAGAGAGGTAGAAATGAGAAGAAAGATGTCTCTGTGAATTCCATCTCCCCTGTGTGGGTGTTTGGAGTAGGAGGTATCATCAAATCAAGAAGAGCAAGAAAGGTTTAATGAAAATCATTGAGAGCTCAATCTGTGTCCCCAGGAGACCAAAGGATCTAGTGGAGTAGGACTTTGCCTAGAAAAGTCAGAGTCTCAAGGCACATGGCTACCGTCAGTTGGCTACTCAGATGGGTCATCAAGAAGAGGTGGCTGCATGGCAAATGGCCTGTATTCCCAGAGTTCGTGGCAAGAAAGGATGCACAAGTGTGTTCTATACTCCCAATCTGGGTTGTCATGAAGGAGAATGCCGGTCTAAAGCCATCTTAAAAGGACTTGCCCATGCGGGCCACCTAGAGGAACATGGAGCCCTAAAGATAGTCTACCTGCCAAGAGCCAACAGGGAAGCCAAGCACTACCAGCAGGAAAGTATGTCATCTCTACCAGGGAAATCCAGGTGAAAGATGGATGGCAGGCAAGAAGGGACTCTGAAGTACTCAACGAACCCCAGAGGGGAGAATGCACAGTAGCATACACAAAGACTTGAAGAAACCAGGGTCAGTGCACCATAGACCCTTACCTCTCTTATGTCCTCTGGGAACAGAGGAGACAACAGAGAAAAATTCAGCTATGCCCATTTCCTTTGCTAGCTTTCTACCCAAAATAGGCCTGGGCTAGAGCAGGGAAGATGCTTTCATCTCCATTAGTAAGAGAGTTTTGACGAGTACCTAGGACTGAACATTAATTACTGCAATGACACTGATTTATGCCTAGAATTAGCTGGACAACTTTATGATTTGAGACAAACCAAAAAGATCTAATTTCATCCAAAGAGCATGGAAAAAACTAGTCTCATAGCTGGTTTGAGGAGGCCGGTTAGGAAGGACAAAGCTGTTTCCTGGTTGTACCCCTCAAATGTGGCTTATTCCCCATAAAGGTGACACTTGAGATTAACTCCTATCATGAAATACAGTGGGATGATGGTGATAATACTATTACTTTCTCTCATTAAATGATTTCCAAATTAGCTTATTTTTACCTATATCCTGGAAAAAATACTTCTTTAAAACTATTGTTTTAGTGACAGTAAGTGTCTCTGACTCTAACACATTTGCATTAACTAAATCTATAGCAACTGTGTATCCAGCCCTTTAAGTTCTCAGCTACTGCTGGAAGAGAAAAGAGAAAACAGGCCGTGCATGATTCCCTTTAGGTGGCATCCCTGTTAAATGATTCAAATCTGGGGCAAAGGCAGCCCAGACAATTCATCACACTGGCAGCAGATGCTCCAGAAGCCCAGAGGACTCTATCTGTAGAATGAAAACACAGGTGATGTTTCTCTTTAAACCCACCACTGGGTCCCCAGCTCACTCTCGTCTTAGTTTTGGAATTGACTCTTCATTCATTGTTTTCCCATTAGCATTGAGCTGCCATGATTAATATGCTTGTGACAGCATGTACTCCCATCCTGATGAGTGCTATGACAGGGCACATGCAGCACCCCAGGAAAGTTTTCTTCAGAGCTGATCACCTAAGAGGCTCTAAATTATTTGGCAATTAAGCCATCACTTTATTCCCACATAACTGTGGCATCATACATTTGTGACTTGCAGAAAATCAGAAACAACACTACAGCTGTATACTTAAGTGTCTTGACTTTAAATGAATTCCATTCCAAGCAGCACAGCAACCCAATCACCTGTACTGTACATTCAAAGACAGGCATGTGCAAGGTGCTAACAGGATCCATGGGTGGCCCTGTCCTCCCCCATTCAGACAGCTGGTTTGCTGGCTTACCTAGCCGCCTTGGCTCCAGGTTAATTGGCTTAGCTCTGTGTTGCTCCTTCCACTTCTCCAGGTTGTCCAGCTCTTGCTTAGCAACTAAGCCAGGTGAGAAATTTCAAACCATCAATTATTAGAATGTGCAAAGGAAATTGGTCCCTTGAAAGCATAAGAAACCACCATAAGAGGGCAATTAACTACATGCGAGCATGAGTGGACAAGGTATCTAGGAAAGGAAGACACCATTAAGTCCTAACCCCCTGGGGTCACCCTGGACCCACCCCTGAGTCACTTTCTCACCAAGAATCTGCAGAGAAGTTTCAAATTTAAAAAACAACCTGAACTTCTACTAACATAAAGGAGGTTAGTTTTACCTCCCATTCTGGCATTCTTAAAACCCTATATCAAATTAATTTTAGAAGTTTCCTATACAGAATGTGTGCAAAACAAGAATATTCATGTTAATAAGAACTCTTCACACAGGTAAACATATATCCCCAGAGAATTCTAATGTCCATATTCACTTTATTGTAAATGTTCCCCAAGCTTTTACTGCAACTACAGGGAGTGAAGGCTCTGTGCCAAGAGTGGGGCAGCCCCGGCTCTGGTTCCCAGCACTTGGGACCACTAGGCAGAGCTAGCTCCCTATGGAGGAGTGTTCATTCCCCAAATATACACTCCGAGTGACAGCAGGGGGCGCCAGAGAGACACTAGTTCTGTTCTGACACTGCATGCCCTTATCCTCCCATCAGACATTATTCAAAATGTCCACTTATAATATTTTTTAATTATTAGAGAAAAAAAAACCCTCTGAAACATCTCAAAAATCCATACCACACTGAGGCTTAAATTCCTGTTAAGTATTTAAATCAAAAGCTTGTAAGATGCCAGAATCTTTGAGATTCTCTTGGTCAACTGCCAGCAGTGTCCATAGTCACTCTGTCCACATAGCTGTGACTGTCTTATTCTGCACTGACCCAGTTATACCACCCAGGGGGCTACCTGTCTGGCGGAGACCCTTTACAGAGGTGCTTTCCTGCCTCATGTCCATCATTAGTCACAAAATTAAATTTCCTACCAGTGATCTAATAAAGGAGAGCAGAGAATCTCAGTGCTAGCCCCACAGCTTGACTTCGGAAACAAGCCTCATAACTTCTTTGTGAACTAAATGAACTTTAGTTCTCCTTCCAACTCTAAAGTATAATGTTGTAACTTTAAATGGCAGCATTTATTTTACCGTACAACTTCAATCAAACGTATTATCTACCCACTAGGTGCAAGGAGCACAAAAACGAGCAAGATGTGGTCCCTGCCCTCAAAGAGGGTATAATCTAGAAAAGGAAGCTGAAGTACACAAAAACAGCTGAGGGTAGACTCTGATAGTTACAAAACTACAGGAGCACAGAGGCTAAAGAAAAATTCCATTAAGAAGGTATAGGACAGGGGCCAGCCCGGTGGCACAAGCGGTTAAGTGCACGCACTCCGCTGCGGCGGCCCGGGGCTCACCGTTTCGGATCCTGGGCGCGCACCGACGCACCGCTTGGCAAGCCATGCTGTGGCGGCATCCCATATAAAGTGGAGGAAGATGGGCACGGATGTTAGCCCAGGGCCAGTCTTCCTCAGCATAAAAAGAGGAGGATTGGCAGATGTTAGCACAGGGCTGATCTTCCTAACAAAAAAAAAGTGATAGGACAGATCAAGAAAGGAACAAATTCTTCCATGATCTATTTCGTATATAACTTGTCTATTTCAAAAGAATTCATAGTCTTGTAAAAATATCTGCAGTGAACCTAACTTTACAGGAACCAGATAGTTCTATTGGCAATAGGTGTGAAATTGTTTAAGCCCAACAGAAATCTGAGATTTACAATCATGCTATGAGTTCTGCTATTAACACAAAGAAACAAATTTAAAAGCATTAACAATTCAATAATTTTAAAAGGTATAATTAAAACTGCTAAAGTTAAAAAAGAAAAAAACTTGATAAGATCTAATGAGTCTACACATATCAGAAAATAAAAATACTGCAGACCAAAGCAGACCAACTGTATTCTATAAGAAAATGAGAAGCATTCTAAGTGTTAAATGAATAAATATACGTACTCCTTCGTATCTGATTTCTTCGGTTTTCATTTGGTGATATCACAGTGTATGCACCTCTCCTAGAATGAAGAGAAAAAAATTGCTTATTATCATGAGAAACTACTAATGCCTATAAACCATCAGACATTCTTCCTGCTAATATACTGTGTTTATGATCATCACCATCAAATAGGTACTGTGGAAGATAATCTTAAGACCCAGGTCTGTTCCAGGAGCTTACAATCTAATTGTCAAAGTAAAACAAATGCACATGGCCAAATATGGAAATAGAAAGCAGTTAATGAAGAGTGACAAGCGACAGCTTCACAGTTGGCTCTTGGCTGACTGTCTTTGTAGGGAGCCATTGTTCCTCTAGGTGGCGCTCGTGGGAAAGTCCCTTTGAAAAGGCTTTAAATTGGCATTCTCTTCCGTGTGACCCACATTGAGAGTACAGTAAACACTCATGCATTCTTTGTTCCCACTAACGGGGAATCCAAGCCATTTGCAATGCATCAACCTCCTCTTGATGACCCATCTGAGTAGCCAACTGACCACAGTCTTGTGCTTTCGGGCTTTGACTTTTCCAGGCATGGATCCACTGGGTCCCTCATTCTCCTGGGGACACGGGTTGAGCATAATCAGGAGCTCAGAGAAGCAAGGAGTCTTCTCAGTTCACGAGGGACCAGGGAAAACTTGACATAAGCAAAAATCTTCAACACAGATACCAAGAAGCTATTAAAATATTGTGAGCTTTTGAGGGCAGAAACTGTGCTTGATCTGCATATACCCACCTCTGGCACAGTGCCTGGCACAAAGTAGCTGTTGATGAATGTGGGCTAAGTTGAAAGGAAATGATGCCACAGACACAGTCTGTGAGTCTGTGCTGGGGGTGGCTCTTCTTTGACATGATGCATGTGGTCCTACAAGAGCATGAATACTTCATAGAGCAAAAGCAACAGACCTCAGCATACATGGGGGCACAGTTTCAGGGGAAATGCTATGGATAAACACAATCAGCTTATAAATGTAGGTTTTTTAAAAAAAAACCCAGATACTCTTATAAGTTTCTCTCTTCAACACGGAATGCACAATTTCAAAGGACAAATTAGCAAAGATTGAACAGTAGAGGCCAAAAGTGCTGATTAACAGAAGCCATTTCTTCCTTATCTCGTTATTTTCCTAGCAGCGAACCTTCAGCCAGCTTCAAACTGGGCTTTAATTTTAGACTTGTGAATGGGAGGTGTGCAACCACCTTTGCATGCAAATGGGACTGCTGGATGCCCAATTACCTAATGTACATCAGCAGACGTTGCTTGTGTAGCCTAGCATGCGTACAACACAATGAATACAAAATTAGGAGGCTGCCGCTGAAAATTAATCCCCTGTCCATTGCATTTTCTTTGTTCACCCTAAGAAAGATTTTTCATTCCTCAATTGCCAGTACTTTATAGGAGCTTGAGAGCTGCAATTCTGTAGGTAGCACCTGCAAATTTAAATATGATGCAATAGTGAGCCATTCTGGACAGCCTTAAAGATGAAACACTGAGATACTAGATTTAAATGCCAACCATGAAATGACTGTACAATCTTTAATGTCCACTGACATTGTGAGACCGAGCTTCTCACCATACCAGAGATTTGACTACACTGCAGATCAGTAGTTCTCAAACTTTAGCAGGCATCAGAATCACGTGGAAGGTTTGTTAAAGTGCAGAGTTTCTGAAGCAGTAAGTCTGCGGTGGAGTTTGATAACTTGCATTTTTAACAAGTTCCCTGGCGATGCTAACCTTCTTGATCTGGGGACCACACTTTGAGAACCACTGCTATAGATGAATCAAGCTGTCTTAAAACATCTGGACTAAAATGGAATTTAGGGATTAATAAATCATTGATAAAGACACAGAGGGTAAATCACGTGCCAAAGATCACGTGGTTAATTAAGCAACGATGCTGGGACTCAAACCCAGGACTTTTGACGTAGACCAGTGGATGTCTGCAGCTAACTTTTCAGCTCAGTGTAGAAAGCATAAAATATGACTGTCCTTAACTTTAGTCTCTTGATAGATTTCCAAACAAAATAACCTACTTAACTGAGCACCTACTATGGACTTGTCTTAGGGGCTTATGAAGAGTGAGGGGAGGGCCGGCTCTGTGGCTTAGCGGTTAAGTGCGCGCGCTCTGATGCTGGCGGCCCGGGTTCGGATCCCGGGCGCGCCCCGAGGCACCACCTCTCCGTCCAACGCGAGGCCGAGTCCCACGTACAGCAACTGGAAGGATGTGAACCTATGACATACAACTATCTACTGCGGCTTTGGGGGGAAAAAAATGAATAAATAAAATCTTTAAAAAAAAAAAAAAAAAAAAGAGTGAGGGGAGATACCAAAAAACAGACACTTTAAAGGAGCTTATATTTTAGTTAGGAACAATTGATGAAACCACCAAAGCACACCATATGGATGTCCAAACAAATGTCCAAGTGGGGTGATGTAAGTAGTCAGAGATCCAAGGTGGAGGAGAGTCACAGGGACCCTAGAGGGGTAGAACACTTCAGAGAAGAAGAATAGCATTTTGAGGCTTAAAGGATAGGATCTGAAATGGCAAAAAGTGCTTCTTCACGAGGACTTTGCTAAGGGCAGCTTCATAGAGAATTTTCCAAGTTCCACGGGTCTCTCTTATGAAAATTTTGGAAAAGGTTTGGAAAGAAAAACCAGTTTGCAAAGGATTTTATTCTACAGTATCTAACCTGATTAAATTTAAGTCTGACAACATCTTTTTTTTTTTTTTTAATTTAATTATTTATTTATTTTTCCCCCAAAGCCCCAGTAGATAGTTGTATGTCATAGCTGCACATCCTTCTAGTTGCTGTATGTGGGACACGGCCTCAGCATGGCCAGAGAAGCGGTGCGTCAGTGCGGGCCAGGGATCCGAACCCGGGACGCCAGCAGCGGAGCTCAAGCACTTAACCGCTAAGCCACAGGGCCGGCCCATGACAACATCTTACTAAAATCTTTAGTCTTAGGAATAGGACTGTGGTCGATTTATGGTCAATGTGTGTAGCCTACGGGTACCTAGACACAGTACAGGACCATGAAACCAGGGAAAGAATTATCTAGACTTGAAATCAGAGGCTTTTAATTGAAAGCATTTAAACATAAGCCCAGGCTGAACGACAGTGGTCCCAGTAATAAAAGTTTTATGTTAGAGAATTCCTGAGTAACCATTCAGCCAATATTTTATTGGCTGAAAATGCTAAATGAAGAAAGCATTGCCAAGTAATTGAGCTTCTATTCCTCTTACTTGCTATAGGAAAAGGAGCTTAAGTCTAAGGACCTGTTTTTCATTTTTTAATATCATGTGGCAGAGCATACTGCCTTGGTAGATACAAACATTCGTCCCTTCTCTCTTAGCTTTTCCTTGACATGAATAACAAGTATAACTTATTCATGTTTTCAGCCAATTAGTTTCCACCCACAGCAAGGGCCTCTGCTGTTTTAACCTCCATGTCTTCCCTTTCAACAGTCTGACTCGCAAAGCTGCTGATCTAGACGAGCCCAACCTACCTTTATTTAGTATTCTGGTCATTTCCTCATTAAGCAACATTCAAGCTACTGAAATAAATGTATATCTTGGAAAATGAGTTTCCTTAATTACCTCATTGAAATTTAATGAAATATCTCGATGTGTAAGATTATTTTCACCTTCCAACAGCACACATCAGTGAGACAGACTAAGAGAGAACATATGAAAGAATCGCACAAGAGAAAGAGAAAAATGTTTTTCTGCACCCCCTCAAAAAAATAAAGAAAATAAAAATATATTTAAGAAATATTTTCCTTGTGAGCTCTCTCCTGAGCTACACAACTGCTTCTCTTGTGTATATTCTTGCACAATTTTTATAAGGTCTCATCAATAAGCACTCTGAAAAAACGTTATATCGAAGTTATGAAAAATATCTTGGCTAGCTAAAAGTATTACATGAATATATCCCCTAGTGTGTACAAACTGCAGCTGATGTAATTTAAATTTCTAATTAGGAACAACACTAGTTTGACTGAAAAAGAAACATAGTCAAGAGCAAAAATTCAGAAAGAGGTAGAAGATTAAATTACAAACATTTCAAGAAGAACAGTAGACACATCAAGTCTACTGTCCTACAAAAAATTGGTTTGAGGTTTTCATGTTCAAGAAAATATTACCCTTGGGTGGGATTGAAAAAAAGAAGGATTTTTGGTTAATCAAAGGCACTGGATAGAGATTTATTTTCTAGATATGGCTTTCCACGTTGGTTTTTGTTATACAATCTTCAATGTAGAAATCCAAAGCTTATTGTTTTTAGCCAACATGAGTCAAAACTTTTGAGGCATTTAGGTTTCTAAAAGTTCTTTTATAAACAGACCATATTCCCAAGAAAGACAAAAAATGACAAGGTCAGGCTGAGTAAATCCTCCTTGACCCCTAAGCCTGTTACACCAACCCTGACCCAGCACTTCACATCTCTGGTGCGGAAGGGCTCCTAAATTCTCTTTGGGCTCGGAACCTGCAGAGCCCAAGACATCGTCTTCACACCAAGAGACTGACGTAAAGCTGATTAGTTCTGTAATTCACAGCTTCCGGTAGAGGGCTGAACAGTTACCTACAGGGCTGAACAGACCCAGAAGGAAAAGATAAATAAGAGATCAGGTCATCAAGGCTTTTGTTCATAGGATGCCTTTATGGAAAGTAAAAGAGGTACACACACACGCATCCATCCATCCCAGGATCTCCATGCAGGGCCATGGCCTAGTGAGACATGGTAAATTTATGCAAATTAGAAAAAGTGCCTCTTCTTCCAGGGCACATGGTTTGGTGTATATTTCAGCTCCAAATTACCACCTTAGCCAAGCAAGTTTGTGCAGTTACCAACTGCACAACCATAGAGGGTAGACCTGAGCAATGTCATACTTCTTCACATAAAAAACACACACACATAAAGCTATGAAAAAAGAAAGCAAGAAGGATTCACTCTAAAGATACAAAGAATACATACAAAATACAATACTATAGAGACCCACCATCTTGGTTTTTTTTTTTTTTTAAAGAT